TGGGGGAGGGGCAACCAGTTACATGGCCCCGCCCCTCAACCACGGCCCACCTCCCCTTGGGGCCCTGCCCCTCAGGCTCAGTTCCCCTCCCATTCCCCCTTGGGGCCCCACCCCTTGAGGGCTTGCCCCACCTCCCCTTCTCTCCTAGGGCCCTGCCCCTCGAGTCTGAACTCCCCTCCCCTGCATGTGACTGACATCTCCTGGACACAGCCCCACCTCCCCAGACTCTGCCCCCCAGCAAGTAGGGGGTGGAGGAAAATGTCACTCATATGTGGCCTCCTCTCCCCAGTCGCCCCTCCCCCCACACATGGGGGGATGACATCTCGCTACTCTAATCCCCCCCCAGCTCCCCCTCCCCCGACGGGGGGCAGCAGGGCAGTGCCAGGGTCTCTGCTGCCCCGGGGGCCGCGCCCGCTACCTGAGCTTCTTCAGGTGGCTCATGTTGGGGTTGATGACAGCGAATTTCAGCGACAGCTTCCAGACGGTGACCACGAAGATCACGGCGTTGACCTGCCGGGGGCAGGGGAGAGGCGGGTTGGGAGGGGGGCAAGTGTGTCCCAGGGGTGGGGCTATGGGATCTCCAGCTGTGCAGCCCATGGGGCAGCCCCTTGCCTGGGCCGGGGGCGCCCCACCCCCCATAGTGACCCAGCTCGGCCCCTGGGGGCTGGGGACTGAGGGGACAGGGGATGACCAGCGAGGGGCCCAGCTGCCCCAGAGTGGGGCCTGGTTGGCAGGCAGGGCCGGCTCCAGGCCCCAGCACAGCAAGCAGGTGCTTGGGGCGGCCAATGGACGGGGCGGCACGTCCGGCTCTTCCGCGGCAATTCGGCAGCGGGTCCCTCACTCCCTCTCGGAGTTGCCGAATTGCCACCAAAGAATGATCGCGGCTTTTTTTTTCTTTTTTGGCAAAAACGCTGGAGCCAGCTCTGGTGGCAGGTGAAAGAAGCGAGGGCAGCTGACAGCCAGGCCCTCAGGGGCCGGCCAGGGGGCCAGGCGCTGGCATGGGGCTGGGCTGGGGGAGGGGATTTACCGCGATGATGCTGCAGACGGGCGCCAGGAAGCTCCAGATGAATTTCTTCTCCAGCGAGAGTCAGCAGCTGTCGGGGAGGGACAGACATGGGTCAGTCACTCACCTGCCAGCAGGGGGCACTGCAGGGTGGGGTCTGCTCCCCCTACTGGCAGAGTGGGGGATGGAGACTTGCCAGCCCCCGCCCCTCCCCCCGGTGCCCGGGAGCTTCCTTGTGTTGTACAAGTGTCCCGGGTTGGGGCCCTGGCCCAAGTGGCAGGAGGGTGTCCCCCTCCCTCACGCTGGCCTCACCCGCCCCATGGGGGCCCACCCCTCCCCTCCCCTGGTGGGCCCAGATGGCAGCGGCACTCCCGGCTGAGCCGCTCCTGTCCCCGTGTGCTGCCTGGGCATGGTGCCATGTTCCCCTCGAGCCCCTGGCCGAGAGCACTGGGCCTGGCCCCCCCCGGGCCGGTGACTCACTGGCGCGCCGTGCCGTAGCCCTCTCTGTAGATGGCGGCCGAGACGCCCACGATGAGGGCCGGCACGCCGTAGCCCAGCAGGAACATGTAGCGGCGT